ACGCGGAACAAATCCGTTAACTATTTTTATATAAAACCAGTAAGGAAAGTTCAAAAGTCGGACTTTGGCCGACTATATGATACCCCTCATCACTTTGGGTACATACAAGAGATGCCCATATGTACAATGTCTTTTTGGAAGGACAGACACATCATCTGTAGAAGATTATCGACACGCAATATCTGATCTTGATAGATATATGTACCAAGATAAATCAACCCATCAACATGTCATTCTTTGAAAAATGTCTTGTTAATTGAGCATATTATGTATATGCAATAGAGCAAGGCTATATATAAAATCGGATGAAAATATATATGGATTATATATCTAAATCTGAAGCGATTTCAACAAACCATCGCATACATTAATCTTTGTACGCTGTGCAAAATGTTGTCTCAAACGGACAAACATTGGGTGTCTGGTGCACCATTTAAATAAAATCGGACGAATCTATATATGAGAGCTATATCTAAATCTGAACCGATTTCAACAAACCTTCACATACACAAATCTGAACCTAATTCGGTGCACTGCTGCACCATTTACATAAAATCGGATGAAACTATGTTTGCGAGCTATATCTAAAGCTGAACCGATTTTTACGAAACTTGGAACGCATCACTCTAAGCTTAATTGAGTAGGCTGTGCCCAATTTTTCCAAATTTTAAATAGTATTCGTCCTTGGGCCAAATAAATGAGCTGTGCCAAATTTCATCCAATTCGGATCGGAAATGCGATGTGTCCTTTGTTTACAATTTACCTCCACCACAGAGTGGTGAAGGGTATAAAAAGGGTTATATGGGGACTACCACCAAAAAGGGGCGAATATAAATAATTTTTTCAAGGGTGATTTGTTACCAAATACAAAACCAGTAAGGAAAGTAGTAAAGTCGGACTGGGCCGACTATATGATACCCTTCACCACTTTGGGTATATTCAGCATATGTATCCTAAAGTCGAAATTATATGGAAGCTATCCTATATCTATATCTGAACCGATTTCAAGGAAACTTATCAGAGATTAATTTATATTAACTTCAGTACGTTGTGTCAATCGGCCTATCTATGGATCGTTGGTGTACCATTTACTTAAAATCGGACGGAAATATATATAGAGGTGTATGTAAATATGAACCGATTTTAACGAAACTTTGTACACACCATTCTAGATTTAAATCAGTGCGCTATCCCAAAATCGAAAGATATATGGGGACTTTGGTGCACTTTTTAGATAAAATCGGACGAAAATATATATGGGAGCTATATCTTAATCAGAACCGATTTCCACGAAACTTTGCACATGTATTTCTAGACTTAATTCAGTACACTATGCCAAAATTCGTGCAAATCGAAAGATTTTCAGGGACTTTGGTGCACTATTTACCTAAAATCAGACGAAACTATATATGGAGCTATATCTAAATCTGAACCGATTTTCACGAAACTTAGCACACATCATGCTAGACTTAATTCAGTATACTATGCCAAAATTCGTGCAAATCGAAAGATTTTCAGGAACTTTGGTGCCCTATTTACCTAAAATCGGGCGAAACTATATATGGGAGCTATATCTAAATCTGAACAGATTTTCACGAAACTTAGCACACATCATTTTAGACTTAATTTAGTACGCTATGGTGCTTTTATGGGAGTTTGGTGCACTATTTACCTAAAATCGGACGAAACTATATATGGAGCTATATCTAAATCCTGTACTTTCTTTACAATTTAACATCAACAGAGGGATGGACGGACGGACATGCATAAATCGACTCAGAAAGTGATTCTATGCATACTCTCAAAAGGTACCATGGGTCTATGTCGATTCCTTTTCCCTGTTACAAACATATGCACAAAGACATAATACCCTGTACCACAGTGTGGTGAAGGGTATAATTACAGCAAAATCGATTATAGAGGGGCTACCAGAAAAAGTGTACCGATATTTATAATTTTTAGTGGAAATATTAGGTGGGGGGAAAAAGAAATGCATTATTTTTATATGAACTACTCGTATAAGACTTTATTGAACATGAATATGGGAATGTCCGATCCCATAATCATGTCATAAATCTGAAATTGATTGATCGATACTTTACGAGAAATCTATCAGTACAGCCATCTGCGAAAAAATAATGGATTTCTTTTTCCCCCAACCTAATATTTGGTAACCAATATTCAGCGAATTCGGTTAAAAGGTTATAGACCTGAATTTTAAAGGACATTTCATAGGGACTCGCCAAATATTAGGTGTAGATTTTATAATCATAAATTTTGAGGAACTCCAACAACTATAAACTTAAAGTTTTTAAGGGACTTTTTTTAAGAATATTTTGAGGTACTTTTCAGCAAGGGTATGGGTATTTTTACGAATATTTTTTGAGGGATGTGTGGGTTTTTATGAAAATATTTTCCAAGGCACCCATCTATAGAGGAAATATATATATATATATATAACAAATTGTGGTATATTTTATAAAAAAAAACATAAAAATATTGAACATTTTCGAACTTACCTTGGCCATATCGGTTATTGTATTGGCATTATCCATGAGTTTGCGTTGATCCATTTTAACTTTACGTAACCTATATATTTTCGTTTTCGATTTTTCGTTTCGAATGTTTGGAATTGTTTTGTTGTTGTTGTTGTTTTGGAGAATTATATAGTAGTTCAAAAGGAAAAAAAAATCCAGAAATTTGGAAAGAAAAGATACCAAAATAATACGAAAAAAATAAACGGAAAAAAGAAGCCATTATGAATAATAAATTTAAGATGGTCATAGATTAAGATGTTAGTAGAGTTGTGTACTTTTACGTTTTGTTGTTGTTGTTTTTTTTTTTTAATTTCTACATAATACTGTAGTAGCAATAGCGGTTATTTTGTTTTTGGTTATTATTATTTTTTTGGGTTGAAAAATACTTTGCGATGGAAATATTAAATTTCGTCGTTAAGATTGCAGAAATATCGTATCTCAAAATGAACCTAAAGAAAAAAAAAAACACAAACAGACAGCAGATAATTGCGACAGATGGGCCTTAGTTTAATTTTTTTTTTGGTTAAGAGTGTTAAACAGCAATTGAGAGTGAGAGAGAGAGAGAGAGGGGGAGAGAGAGACAGTGAAAGTGACTTAATGAGTGCCTTAGGTTTGGAAACAGAGTGCCAAATAGTTTTGCTTATAATTGGGTTAAGTTTTATTTTGAAGGTTTGGGTGAGGGGTTTCTTGTGTTGTGGTTTAAAGGGGGGTAGTTAAGGGTCCTGAGTTTCCCTATCTCGAGTTAATTTTTGTTTGAGTGAGCTTTGCGTCCCTGCCTAGAGTTTAGTTTCTGCAATCTTAACTGTAACGAAATCTCTTTGAGAAACTAATATTCAAAGTGAAAATTGGAGTTTACATTCATGTGTAAGTCCACCACTAGTTAACGTATAAACAATTGATTGATCCGGGATCTGTGATAGTTCCACAGATCTCTGGCTAAGTTTTTGCTTTGGTTTTTGTTTTAGAGCGACACAGAGAGAAAGATAGAGGTGGGAGGAGGATTGGGGTTAAAGGATTTGTGTGTGTGAGAGAGAGATAGAGAGCAAAAGAGTAGAGGGAAATGGAAAGTTAGAGAGTAAGAGTGATATGGGATTTAGCAATAGAGACATAGACTGAGAGTTTGAGAGAGAGAGAAATTTGTTGCATGGTTACAGAGACAGATTGAGAGAGAGAGAGAGAAAAAAGAGACACATAGATATTGCATGTGAGTTAAAGTGAAAAAGAGTTTATTTTCTTTTAGGCTAGTGAGGGATTAAACTGTTCGGTTTTCATTTTCTTCATTTATTTATTTTTTTGGGGTGTGAGGGATCCATTTGGAAAAAGAACGGTGCTGGAAAATAGTATTAGGGCATGACCTTTTCCTTGAAGTTATTTTGAGATACGAATTTCTAAAAAATTAACGACTCTTCTTGTCTTTGCTTTTCATTGTGTTTGTTGCCTTAAAGAATAATGATTTTGTTAGTAGTTTTAATTTTTTTTTTTGATTTTTTTGTTTTGGTTAATTTTCTTTTTGAGGGGGGTATTCAACACAAATTTATTTGTAAATTTGGCTTTACAACCGAATTACAGGCTAGTAAAACGAGTTCTCAAACAAAAAATGTAACTGTGGCTGTTAGTCAAAAATATTACAACAACATCATCGACAGGATTTTGTGGAGAAAATCCTGTGGACTAACAGCAAACACTTACATTTACTAAAATATTAACTTAAAATTGAGGGAGAGAGAGAGTGAAAAAAACGCTCTACCCAAACACTTGTCACAAGAAGTGTTGGTAGACAGATTTTTTGTTTTTTTTTGTATATCTTTGCCAGGCAGACAGGACAATCAGAGTCGGTCAGTTTTAAGAATATGGGTGTGGGGAACCCTTAAACAAAATTGCAGGTCAATAAACACTGGTGCTTGAAACCGAGACAGTAAAGTGGCTTTTCTGGACGTAACAAGGTCAGGACAATACACACATATGAATATAAATGCAGACGTCTCACGCACACACACACATACAGACATATCGCCATTGACAACGACAGACAGACAGGCACACGCACACACACACACACAAACATTGTCCATAGAGTAGTGTGTTGATACTTGGCCATGAATTTTGTTGGCCAAGCCGGCTGGCCTGTCATTCTGATATGTTGTGGTGAGAACCAATGGCTTAATCGCAACAAAAATGAAAACAAGGGTCTTGACTCAATGTCAGATCTCAATCCTCACAAGCTCAAGCATTTGCTACCAACTCTGTTGTTAAACAGTTGGTTGGATGGTTAGTTTTTTTTGGCTGGCTGGCTGTTAGAGAGACTGATTAGCTTCTTTTAGCCATTAAAGGAATAGCATATTTCTCTGGCATTTTGCATTGCGATATGAATTTTTTGTTGTTGTGAAATTTGTTAGTAAAAGTCTTTAATTGCTCTATTCTTTTTTTATGGATGGGATCATTGCTGGTTGGTTGGTAGGTAGTTTTTTTTGCTGTTTAGTTTGGTTTATTGTTTGATTTTTGTTGGTTGGTTGGTTTTGGTTTGGTTGATGAATACTCACGCATAAATTGCTAGAAGGAACTTTCTTTGGTGGGTTCTTACACGTCCGGGATTAACCCGTTTTACTAGTCTTGTATGTTTGTAAATGAGCCAAGTTTCACGAAGAACATTCGCCGCAGCATTTTTCAGCTAAAAGATACATGTGTAAATTTATAGTAGTAGAATACATACATACGCATATATATATTTTTTTGGTTTTGTAGGGGTTTTTTTGTTTTATTTTATTTATTTGGTTTTGTAAATGGAGAGCAGGATTTTGTAGTTAAATTGTTTTATTTTAAATAAAGGAAAAAAATATATATAAATATAGTAATGGAAAAATTGTGGTAAGTTTTGTAAACAAAAAAATCGCACAGACAACAGGTAAGTAAAAAAATTATAAGAAAAAAAATAAGAATTTAATGTTAGTAGTTTGAAAAAGGTGAAAGGAAGTTATAAACTTGGAAGCTATTAACGATTTATAGGCTTATGCTACATTTACACTGAATAAATGAAAAACGTTTTAGTGTAAATGAACTCTTATAAAATAATCAAAATTCCGTATATAAAAAATCGTTGCAGCTTCCAACATAAATCGATGAAGACCGAAGTCAAACATCGATCTATATATTCCTTAATATTGTGCCAGTAGAAGTAAATGTATACTACGTATTAGAAAATATTGAAAATTAATAAAGGAAACTAAATAAAATATGACCATGAACTAGAAATAGCCATAATTGTGAATTTTTCAAAATTTTTTGGTAAATATTTATGTTTTTTTTTTAATTTTCAAAATGAGTTTAGACCAGTGCTGTCCCCACTAATACATTCAAGTTTTGTGATTGTTTCGAACAAGGCCTATATAAGGTCGGCCAGTAAGCACAGGTGAGTATAAAGTCTTTTGTCAAATCATCCCAGTAGAAAATACTCTCTTGCGTGACAATTTCGTTAACGAATCGTTGACGAAATATATGGAATTGTCATTCATGACTAAAAACATGATATGTCGTCGAAAATGTCGTTCTTCTCGAAATATGAAAACAAAACAAAAATATTCTGAATCGAGTGTACTATGAAATATTGACAGAAACGAAGAGAAAAATGTTTCTGAAAAAATATACATATAAGAAATTTGAGATAAAGAAGACGTGCTATCTTGCTTAAAATAGGTAAGTTTAAAAGAATATATAGCTATTTATATCATTATTTAAATGCATTGTTTTACTCTTAGGATGGGGCAAATAAATGGCAATTGTTGAAATATTGTAAGTAATATCTGAAAGATGTTTCATATTCCAATGCATTTTAATTTTGTTGTTTCTTTACAGATGCTGTTAAAAAGGAGATAATCATTACGCCAAGTAATATAAGTTCTAAAAAATTTCATACTTCTAGCTTCAGCCGTTTCGTCTGGGCGATGATCTCACAGTCACTCACTTATCACTAAGCTCCTTTTTATATTAAGGTTATATACGGCATTCTCGAATTAATTTATTACCGAGCAATGACCCTTAAACCGGGGTCAATGACCTTTAATCCGGATTAAGCCTTAATCCTCTCAATGACCCTTAATCCTGAGTCAATGATCTTTAATCCGGGGTTAATAACCCTTAATCCCCTCAGTGACCCTTAATCCGGATTAAGCCTTAATCCCCCTCAATGACGTTTAATCCGGGGTCAATGACCCTTAATCCGGATTAAGCCTTAATCACCTCAGTGACCCTTAATACGGGGTCAATGACCCTTAATCCCCTCAGTGACCCTTAATCCGGGGTCAATTACCCTTAATCCGGATTAAGCCTTGATCCCCTCAATGACTTTTAATCCGGGGTCAATGACCCTTAATTCCCTCAGTGACCCTTAATCCCCTCAGTCACCCTTAATTCCCTCAGTGACCCTTAATCCGGGGTCAATGACCTTTAATCCGAATTAAGCCTTAATCCCCTCAGTGACCCTTAATCCGGGGTCAATGACCTTTAATCCGGATTAAACCTTAATCCCCTCAGTGACCCTTAATCCGGGGTCAATGACCTTTAATCCGGGGTCAATGACCCTTAATCCCCTTAGTGACCCTTTATCCGGATTAAGCCTTAATCCCCTCAATGACCTTTAATCCGGGGTCAATAACCATTAATCCGGATTAAGCCTTATCCCCTCAGTGACCCATAGTCCGGCGACAATGACCTTTAATCCGGGATCAATGACCCTTAATCCCATTAGTAACCCTTAATCCGGATTAGGGGTCATTGACCCCGGATTAAGGGTCATTGACCCCGGATTAAAGGTCATTGATCCCGGATTAAGGGTCACTGAGGGGATTAAGGCTTAATCCGGATTAAGGGTAATTGATCCCGTATTAAGGTCATTGAGGGGATTTTGGCTTAATTCGGATTAAGGGTCACTGAGGGGATTAAGGATTAAAGGTCATTGACCCGGATTAAGGGTCACTGAGGGGATTAAGGTCATTGACCCCGGATTAAAAATAATTGAACCCGGATTAAAGGTCACTGAGGGGATTAAGGGTCATTAAGGGTCACTGAGGGGATTAAGGGTCACTGAGGGGATTAAGGGTTATTGAGGTGATTAAGGCTTAATTGATCCCGGATTAAGGTCATTGAGGGGATTATGGCTTAATTCGGATTAAAGGTCACTGAGGGGATTAAGGTTTAATCCGGATTAAAGGTCATTGACCCCGGATTAAGGGTCACTGAAGGGATTAAGGGTTATTGAGGTGATTAAGGCTTAATTCGGATTAAGGGCCACTGAGGGGATTAAGGGCCATTGACCCCGGATTAAAGGTCATTGACCCCGGATTAGGGGTCACAATGTATAATTCTTGTTATAAATAAATTACATGCTATAAAAATATAAATTGAAAATGTATATGTATATTTTTATTTGAATTTTTAATGGGATATGATGATGACAATGGGTATTCAGTCGTCAACGACTGTGTAAACGACGTAGTCGATGATAGTCGTCAACGAAAAGTAGGGAGTTTTGTCGCCGAAGTTGTCGTCAACGACAACTTCGCTTACCTTGTCGCCCAAGTTGTCTTGCATGAATACTGCGACACTTGTGTGAAAATTTCGTCAAGGATCTCACATTGTTGTCTGCAAAGTGTCTTCAAGGAATTGCCATTGTCTTGCACGATTCGTTAATGTTGTCTGCAAGACACTTTCTACTGGGATATTTTGAAACCTATACATACATACAAAATTATGTTAGACGTCAAAACGAAAATATTAATATTTTGTCAATATTCAATTCAATTTTATCGTCCTTTTACACAACATTTTGAGTATTTTAAGAGTTTAAAGAAGATTTTCAAGTAAATTTTCCTAGAAGTTATAGATTGTGTTGTGTTTTGGCTGTGATTTTCATTTAAAGGCGAAATAATTAGTTTTCGCCTCGGCAAAAAACAAATTGACTTTAAACTTAAGTTTTTTCTATAAATTCGCTTACTGGCCGACCTTATATAGGCCTTGGTTTCGAAATACACACATTTTAAAGTTTTCTAGTAAACTGTGAGAAATATTGTTTTATTTTTTTCTGTTTTCATTTTGTTTTGTTTTTCGTTTTTTTTTTTTCTTTGTTTTTTAAGTGTAAAGTAATTCATTTATTGTTGATGTTGAAATTTCTTGCATACCAAGTAAGCGTGGATTCTTTTATCCAATAAACCTTCAAATTCATTAACATGAATGCAATTATTAGAATACCATTACTGACAAAGGAATTAAAATGCCGAAAATTCAATATTTTGAGTACAAGGACGATAATTTCATCAATATTTAACTCATACGGACAACATTTAATACGAAGTAAATTTTCAAGGTGGTTATCGGAAAGAGAGTTTCTACATTTACTTTTTATAATTTTTAGGTATGAAAATGAGGACTCGCGTAAATAAGTGGAACCAAACATTGAAAATAATTTCATTATGTCTCTTTTTATTGTGGAATATTTCTCGATATCTACATTTCGCCAAAAATCGACGCCAACACTAAGTGGTAAGGTGGAGCTTTCAATATATCTCTCCTCCTCATAATTTAAAGTATACCTTTCATAAAACGGTTTTAGTAGGTCGAATTCCTTTTCTTGCTAGACAAATTATTGTAATATCCGTGACAGGACACAACATGCCTCTTAAGATAATACAATATTGATCGCGACATAGTGCGCTGACAAATCAAACATTCCATTTTTCCGAAATAATTTTCCGCAAAAAAAATTCAAATTCCAAATCACCATTCATTTCGTTCAGTGTACGCACAAAAATTCACAAAGAAAAATCGACAACAGAACCTTTCTCGTTGGCTTTTCAAAGCAGAATGAATGTAAAATTTTAAATAAAATAAATTTTGTTTCTCTTTTATAATTGTGTTAGTGAGACATTGGCACACACCGACAGCCCATGGGACCTATTTTTGGCACAGGTGGTTTAGACTACTTAATTCACTCGATTTCAAATGTCAACTCTACTTTCACTCAATTTTAAATGGCAACTTTCTATGGATTATTCAGAACATATATGTTCTGAAATTGACATTTGAAATCAAGTGAAGTTTTCAAATCTAAGCGTACGTTACTCGAATATTCTCCACGGAGTGCCAACACGTCTAATTCAATTTAAAAGCGTTTACAGCACTAATTTATTAAAATAAAAAGTGTTGCTTAAGAACTAAGTATTACAATATGACTTAATTTGTAAAAGAGAGGAGAGAGAGAAAGTGTGTGAACACATTTGCAATAACATACAGGATGAGATGAAAAAACTGCAACCAACTTGTAGCGGGAGAATCAAAACAACAACTTTCTGGTTTGAATGCCGATTTAATTCTAATTTTTTTATTCAAAAATTTTCGTTAATAACTACCTAACCTAATATAACTTAGCCTAATATTATACACATAAAAGATGACAATTGATATAAGTGTGTTCATTTGTTTACATTATTAAATAAGCGGACAAATATCTTTGTGTGTGGGCTGCTATTAATTCTCATTCCCAGCTCAAACACACACATAAAACCACATTGTAGTGATCTCTATTTACTCACCCGCTGAGCGCATGTTTATGGAGATATCCTTTATTAGCTGATAGATCGATTTTAGGACCGATTTCATATTAATTCTTAAAAAATCCTA